GTTTTCGTTTTCTAGTTGGCAAACTCTCGATGCTTGTAGCTGCTGCATCGTGAGTTTGAGGGGAGATGTTAAGAAATATATGATTATTTTGTTAACATTATTTATTAAGGGTAGAATAGTCTTTTAAGTTTTCTTTATTTTAGACTATATATAGTCTCTTTATATCTAGGTTTTATTCATTCAATTACATTATGCAGAATCAATAAAACCCTAACCTCTTTTTCATCTTCTCTTTGGATTGTTTAACAAATCTGACACTGACATCTGTCCTTGCTTTAATTGAATTAACTCATTTAGTTTCTGATTCTTGGAAGTCGATGAAAAATATATGGTACGAAATTTCTCACAGAACTTTGCCCAGTTAATATATTGGGTTTCTCCCATGCTCATAAAAGTATCCCACCAGTGAGCAACGCTACGTCGTAGTATAAAGGAAGCACAATTAACTTTTTCATATTCTGGAATAAAGAATAGGCAAACACGCGCTCCATAGTTCAGATTCAATTGGGTCCTTAGCCTCATCGAAGGTCCGAGGGTTTAGCCAACGAAAACAATCAGTAGTGATTTCTTTTTCTTTATCAACCCTTGATGCATCAACATTGGGAGAATTATTGATGAAATGACGATTGACGAGTTCGGTGCTTGACCAAACGGGTCAATCGATCAATAAAGATGTTATTGTTTTCACGAGATATAATAACAAAATTTAATTATAGGTGTTGGTAATAAAATAGAAAAGAATTTATAAATTTTTAACCAATGTTGGTGTAGGTGTGGACATAAAAATTTATTAAATTTTTTTTTTTTAATATTTGGTATGTGATTCCGAGGCATAAGCCTCATTACTTTGGTTTCTATTTCATTCATATTTTTAATTGTGAATTGATGTTATTTCGTTTAGATCGAACTGAGCACAACTGGAATGTAAGGTAACAAAACATTAAACTCCAAACAAAATCCAAATATTACCTCCTGAGAATAAGATGACGCTCGACGGCCTTTACATGCATGGTAGTCTACAGAATCACGTGAAAACTTAGGCATTGATACCACGCTCGTCACGCCCCGACTTTTTAAATATTAATTAAGCAACTAGGGTTGAATAGTAGGGAAAATAAAAAATAAAAAAATCATTGGCCATTTTTATTTTATTCAACCCTAGTTGCTTAATTAATATATAAAAAGTCGAACGTGATAGATTTTGATAAAAGCTAATGAAATAAATTGTTAAAAAGATATGAATCCCGTGTAATATATAATTAAAATTAGTTGTTGATTTTAATTTAAATTAAAACCTCTATTTTAATGTCAAGTGGATTACAAATTGGGTCAAAGATCAAAATTTATTCTCTATTTTAATGAATGTGGGTCCCATCCAATCCAAGTAGAGATTGTGTCCGAGTCTACTGTATGTTCCCTCGGTTGTCCCCTAACTAAATTTTGAAACATCTTGTCATATTTTTAGTGGGATACCATTTCCTTTGGACCAAAATGCACCAAAATTTGGTACAAAAGTGCTCCAATGTGACCTCAAATTTTGCACCATTTTGGTGTTTTGGTGCAACAGTATTCACTTTGCACCATTTTTTCAAAATGTTGCAAAGTCCAATTTGCCCTTTTTCATTTACCAAAATAATTTTTGGAGGGTATTTGTGTCATTTGTGTTATATAATTTTTAATACAATTATTATTATTATTATTATTATTATTATTATTATTATTATTATTATTATTATTATTATT